AAGTGCCACAACATGGCGCTGTCAACGGTGTCGAAAGCGTCTTTCAAGTCGAGGAAAACTACCAAATTCGGTCGTCTGTATGTGTCTCGGCTTTAAAGCTTGGGGAAGAGTAAATATTTACTCAATACAACCACAGCCCTGGCGGAAGCTAGTCTGGTTTCCATTGGTTGCGTTCTCACGGGACCAGTAAGTCGTCGAACTTAGATACTCGTAAGAACTTTGGAGGCAACGGAAAGAAAGCTAATTCCTCGATGATGTCGCGCAAGGTAATCTGATCTTTCTTGAAGGTGAGCACGACAGTTGGCAGTCACCAGTCTAGAGGCACCTCTTCATTATTCCACATCATGTTAATTAGAGAAGTGAGTGCAGTCAACAAAGACACTACCATATTTCAGTAAAGATGTAGGAAGGTCGTCAGGTCTAGGAGCCTTGTTTCGTTTCAATTCTGAAAGCTCATGTCGAATCTCTTCCAAAGTGGGAGATTAGACATCTTCCCACGTCGGCTCAGATGATTCGGTAAGCAGTAGTATCGTAACAGGTCTGCTGAACTGCTCTTCAAAATGTTTCGCCCAACGGCTTAATCCATGGGAATGAAACAACTATCTATATTTCTTAGCTATTATTTCGCTAACAGATGCTTTGCTCGAACCAATGTTTCGGCTGAGCTAGACAAACCCTCACACCAGCGTCCCCGGTCGATTTGAACACTCCGTCAGACGTCGCTTCAAGGCATTATGAACACGTGAGAACTCAGTGCCCACCGAAACCTGTTTCCGTGTTTCGACTAAACTGATCGGTGCCTCAGATATTCATTTACAGTTATGTCGTATCCAATTGGATGTACAACATGCGTCAAAGTCATTCTTCGTGACACATTTGAGACGCTCCCAGTCAGCGTTCGGCTCACCAACCTCATTCGTCACTGACAATTGGTGGACCAGTTCGTCATAATGTCGCTGAACGGCAGATTGCGAGTACAAGTTACAGGTAATTAAGTCAGGTTTGGCGCTTCTTTGAAGCGGGAAGTGTGAGCGCCAAGCATGTGCTCACTAGAGCTTGGTCAGAATCTAGGCACATGCTCCGACTTGACCGAGAGTCTTGCATTGATGTGCGCCATATGTGGCTTAAGGCAATATGGTCAATTTGGCTCCAGGTCATTGTGGAATTCGGTGGGCGCCAGGTGATGCGTGAATGTTTGGGCAGAAAACCAATGCTGCTTATGTGCTGTGGTCGGCGTTCCGTGGCTCCGAAACATCCACCTAAGGGTTGTTCATACTGTGAAAGATTTCCCACTTGTTCATTCAAGTCACCAGCATCAATCACGATGCTTATATTCGCCATACGAAGGACAGATGAGAGCTGTTGATAGAAATCCTCTTTGACATGTGTGCATCGTCCTTGTAGCGCTTGGCAAATACGCTGCTTCAAATGTATTTCCGTTTATTATTAACAGATTAATAATGTAGTTGATATGGTACATGCGCCGCATCCTCGCTGCAGTTGGTCCGTACGTGTGCCGACGCTGATTGTTTTCATTTTAGCTCCTCTTCAGTGCACTAGATCTGACTATCACATTTTTTGCTTTGTTTTGTTTTGCTAATTGTCCACATATCGCCTTTTATTTCTGCGTATTATTCACGTTAAAAAGTTTGTCCCCTGTGTTACCATTACATTTGCCTAAGATCACGATTACACTGCATCAGATCTACTACACATCTGCTTGATTTTGCTCTCTTCTTTCATCCTACCGCACACTTACTGTCCATTTTGTGTGTATTTTCTTTCCTATTCGGTTCGCTGTTTGATTTCGCCGATGTGGCTGGCCTGTCGAAAAACCGTTACCTCGATTATACTGGCCTCAGTAGACAGTTGGCCGTTGTTTGGGGAGATGGGGTGCACGGTCCTGATGACGGTGCTAAGCTCAAAGAGCGGTTCCATGCATCCACTGTGGGACGGGCTTCAGCCCAGCCACCACCTTGAGTACATCTGATACGCATGACTCCCTACCTCGGCATAAATGCTTCTATTTTGCTTGTTGTAGGAGTGTGGCCCGGCTCCGTGGGCGGCGATTTGCATTGAGGTGGGACCATAGATTAGATCACATAACTTTGAAACTAATCATGGAGTGCAGTGTTTTCGAGATAGGTAACACCAAATATTCAACTATCTCATTTGCTACTATTCCTCAGTTTAGCAAACTAAGTTGACCACCGCCTAGTATTTGCATTTTCATTTTACTTTTGTAAATACGTCGGGTTTCTCCTATGTTATACTCTTCTCATGAGACACGATTCCGAAATTGGCACTTTACTGCTTCACAAAACTTATATCCCAATCGAAGGAAAAAGCAGAACATCAATGATCTTGACAAAATAACGTATTAACCGCCCTTGGCAAACACCGTACAACCGCCGCGGACCTTGGCTGTCTTTATAGATCTCTTCTGGAATTGGAAGGCCAACTACCACTATTAGTGGTTCCTCATAGCTTTGGCCGAGATGTCAGGTGGTTTGTAGGCAAGTGCAGAACTTAAAACATTCCAGAACGTTCGAAATCGATGTAATAATTGTTAATTGATTAATCGATACAATAGTGGATTTTTCAGTCAATTCTTACTTTCTCCCGGACATCCTACACGATTTGGGGTCCTAGATAGCGTTGATCAGAAGTTCTATGCTGCGTATGGACTCCATGTCGGTGGGACTGTCTCATGGTGGTGGTGGAGAGCAACCCTATTTTCGGTTTTGCAGGCGCTACCTTTGGAACCAACAGAAACTGCCCTTACGACGTTACGTTTGAATAATGGTGCCTTCTCAATTTGGCTCACATCTGGTGGGAACACCGCGTGAGTAACGAGCGTGTTCGACCCTTGTTTATGGCACAGAAAAAGGAACTGAACAGCTCAGCACCGTCATTTCACTCACCAGACTCCGGTGGCTGGGCCACGTGTTGCGCATGCCAGCCCACCGACCCCCGCGACGTGCGTTTGCTCACCGGGGATGTGGATGGAAGAAGAGGAGGGGTGGCCAAGCGATGATTTGATCGAGAGGAATGAAGGCCCTCGCTTCGAAGCTGGCTTCGGTTGGAGCGTCACAGCTCTCTGGTTGGGGTCTAAAAGACGATGAACACGTTTGCTTAGATACACTTGTTGTCATGGCTAGGAGTCGATTTCAGTGGCGTTCGTGCTGAGTTTCTTTGTCCCACGTCATCCCTCTTAGCCTCCCCTCCAAACACGATCTCAGCAGTAGACTCCATAAATCCCAGTCTGGTCTGGACGCTATTTTCTTTCTCATTTCCTTTAGTTTCTTACATTCTCATCACAATTCATACGAACCGAGCAACTTAACAAGCCAAAGTTCGTGATATGTGAATGAATCGCTGCGTAGTATTATACCCTTGTTGCTAAACCTAAATCGTAAAATCGTTTGGACTTTTCGTTCGCGTTCCTGCTTTTCTGCAGTTTTACTGGGCTAAACTTCAATTAGAGACCCCGATTCAGGTATTCTCGATTAAATTTTCCATCTTGTGTCCCACAACTCGCCTATCATTACACTGAAGCAAGCTCTGCTGTCGTTTCTGATGACAAACGAATTTTCACTAGACGTCCATTTTACTAGGAATGATCAATAGAGTGCATTAACACAGTGAAAATATACTTTATCAGAGACGTTCATTGACCTGGAATAAACCGGCTTCCCGAATCTAATCTACATCAGCAAATGGACTATTTGATGTAGTGTGTCTTCGCGTATTCTGTTGTCTTCTCATTTTTTCGTTTTAAATCTTAGAACCTTGTCCGCCCCTAGCCTTAAGGATCACAAGCCTGCCTTGTAATCTGAGGGCGCGGGTTCGAGCTTGCATAGGGACCGGGCGACCCCTACAGTATCCATAGTCCACGTGCAACTGTTGATGGTTGCGCGGCAGCGAAGCGTACCGGTGCCTACCGGCTTACTGCTGATACCTACATTTACCTTTAGAGCCTTTGTACACTTTGATGGCCACTCTCTTCCCCCTGTCTGGTTTTCCTTTTCTGTTTATCCCTCCTTGGCCATCGGCTGATAATTTCCTATTTATTTTCCTTCATTTGACCACTAAATCACACTTTCGCTTGCAAGCACACTACTCTTGTTCTACAAGTGTTCGACACTAGCGTTCGATTTGGTACTGCCTAATTTGGTGGCAATTTGTGCAATGTGTAGTTACTCAGAACCGGTATGTAAGCATACTTATGACGACAAGATCCCCCACCTCCTACTTGTCCAACTCGCCGAATACACCATAATTGGTTGTATGATTCAGGTTCATAAGTCGCACCCTCAACTTACTCTACAATGCGCTGAAAAACCCACTGGCATTACTTTTTCAGGCATAAAAAGCAGAATTCCAATTCGGTTCGTGTAGAATTACCCTCGTTTTTTCCACTAAATTGCTACTTTGTGTATGAGAGCGATGGCTGCGTTAGTTTTCTTATGTAACTCAACATACACATATACGCATTACAATTCGATCGTTTTTTCCTGGTACTCAGGCTTTTTCTGGCATCTGACTGACCTACACGTCGACTTAAACTACAGCAGCCACCTGAATCGAAAGTGCAATGGCTCCTACGGAGACTACCGGTGCGATTCGTCCCCCATCTTGGGATTGTCGGCCATAAATGTTACCCGGCGGTTTTCAATGCCAAATGAGTTCCCGGATTTTGTTTTATGGAGCGGGTTAGTATTTGGTATCGTCCTCATTTTCTATGCGTGCCATTTGTTACCAATCGCAACTTTGACCTTTAGTGCTAATGCGTCTTCCACAACATTTGTTTATCGAGAACCAGGCTAAGGAATATTTATCTCAAGTTTCACCTAATGTTGCCTTGTATTAACTTGATAATAAAGTTGTTACGGTTTTGATGAATTCTATCATCAACTGAACGAGCTCCCTTTTACGGGCAATCTACCAATACTGTAGTGCTTGTTGTGGATCTGAACGACCCAGTTGGAATATTGTCTACTGATGAGCTGCATTTGGGTGGCCAACAAGGTGTAGGCTCCCGTTAGGATAACAGTGAGCGACTGCTACACCTGTGGAAAGATTCTCGTCTGTTTCTCGCTAGCACAAACTTTCGACACAGCAACCGCAGAAGCGTGACTTGGCGCCCACCAGCTTCGCACCAGCGATGGACGCAAATCGATCATATCGCGATCAGTTACCGCTAGAGAGGCTGTGTCCAAAACTGTCGCTCGATTTGGAGCACGAGCGTGGACTCTAACCACTCACTAGTATGTGCCGATATGCGAGTACGTTTTGTGGAACCTCCGCAACGACTCTATGAACTTATAAATACTTGCCAGCTGGCGAAGCCCATGTTCTGAATGTGTACCAAAGTCCGCCGACTTGCGGATTTAGTAAACGCTCACTGGACGGAGTTGAAGTTCACTCCTCGCATATCCGCTAGATGTTATTAGCAGCAAGCTTGTCTTCATGTGGCAAATCAAATTGCCAACTTGGACATTAGGTATGAATGCAATCTTTGGAACTACTGAATGCTTGCTGACACATCCCAGCTGAGAGCGCACACAACTAGACTCGAGTGCTAGCCTGAAGAAACCGGGAACCCTGATGGTCTCATCCTGCATCGGAAATGGAAGTAGTCGCTGCCCTTGTTAACCATCGGAAGTTATTTCGTCTGATACGCGAAACTCGCAGCAGGAGACTTGATGTTAACAAGCCCATATGTGACGAGGGTGGACAGCCAATCCACAGTTTGTCAAAACGCTTGGACCATTAGGCCGTACACTCTGAAAGGCAGCCTAACCAACCAGAGCTAACCACTTCTCTATTGCCATTGATTGCCCTTCTCTCCAGGCCGCTCATCTGGGTCCGCTTTCATACGCTAAGGTCGAACTTGAGCCCTGGCTGCGGAAAACGTATAAGGCTGCAGGAACAGCTCGACTTCCTCCGCTCTTTTCCTATTCGGGGGACCTGTTTTTGTAGATCATCTGCACAGTCATTGCAACAGTCATAGAGGTCTCAGTCTGATTTCATTTGTCTCTAAGTATATATGTACTTTTTCAACAGTCTATGAATAGACATAGAGCCATCAGAAACCATGGAACACAAATGAAGGTACAGAAATTGTGAAGGAAAACACAACACAACTCATTAAAGTCCATGGTTTCGTCAGAGGGCGAGATACTACCCGGTTGCCCAAGCCGAAGTAGGGTGTTCACTTAGGGGACACCACCCCAAGCCTTTGCCTGAATAGCCTATCCGCAAGGCAGCGGAGCGAATTCAGGGAATCGCGCCCATTGGGAGCCGGCGACTGATTGCTCAGTTCATACACCTTTCGTTTGTTCCTTTGTGAAACAGGGGTCCAATGCTCCCCAGAATTACAGCACAAAGTTCCTGGTATACAATGCTTCGCCAGGATGCAGCAAGGGGCAGTGACTTTATTTAGTGGAGAGTCACGTCCGCCACAGTGTTGTTAAACGGATATATGTGGCTTTTTATAGGGAGAACGCTTGCCAGGTGAAAACCCACCACGTCCTGGAACACTGCCGCCGAACGATTTGCTGGAACGGGAAAATCCCGAACCACCCAGCTGACATCAGGAGGAGGTTGTTCGGCAAGTCAGCCAGTTGTTCGACAAGCCAGAGATGTGCCATCCAGTGTGATCATGGTGCAAAATCGACACATCTTTATTGATCGGTGCCGGACACATGTTAAAGTTATCACTGCATTTCTGCAATTTGCCAACAGCGCTTCGCCACTGTAATAGTTTCACCTAGGTTCTGATAGCTGTAATTGACCAGATCAACCTCAGACCACCAAACAGTTACCACATCCATTTTGGGGTGTAATTTCGGCTTTGAGAAGGGTTGCAGAATTTGAACATGGTCCAACCATTAAGCAGTGTGTCGTCGATTGTCGTGAAGGATCCACTTTACATCACGTCACAATCCATACTAGAAAGGGATCGTTTTTATCGCACAGAACAAGAACAGTCGACTCTTTAAAACGATGGTTACTTTGATTTTCATGTAATTACTGGGGCATCCACTTATCAAGCTTTTTCGACATTCCAATCCCGCGAACATGTATGCAAAATGTCATCTGCGATAATATTAATAATAAGTCAGATGCGAGACCTCGAACTGGTTCACCCAGATCCGCTTAAACTAAGGCCTTGACTTGATCGTTGTTCACTCCTGATGGCTGTTCCCAATGCCCTTCATCATAAAGCCTCGTGTAATCTCGAATTTTTGAAACCACCATTGCGCATTACGCTCATGAATGGGTTCAGAACCAAATGCACCGTGAATGTCACAAACTCTTTTCGCAACAATATTTTCGACCAAGTTTACGCTGAAACAAGAAAATTGTGCAAATTCGTCTTCTGTCCATGTTGCATTAAATGTGTAAAGACATGTTTCTGAGCTAAACCATCACTACGGTGAGAAATACGCTTCAAAGTGATATTCAAGGTCAAAACATGCTGTCAAAATTTTATTTACACATACAGCTGGTTAGAGTACAATATTAGAGACCGCAATAACAACCTTGTAATATGACCGTCTCAGTGCCACGCAAACGTTTAGGCAATTGTTTGTGTTTTATTCTGGCCTTTGGTGAATCAGGTTCTATTTAGTAGATATTCGTTCACTGTGCCCTACACTGTCTAGTTTACGCTCTTAACTCGTAACAACTTCTTTAGTGGTGGTCTCCATTTTCCCCGGAATCGGGTGACTCCAAGTCGTCGGAGGAAACGTTTTCTTTAGCGGGTTTAGTCTTTATGCGCTAGTCCTTTCTTTATTTAAATAGCGTGCCTATCGTTTTGCTCTTGTTCAGAGAGGACAATGTTAGCGACTATGTGAGATTCCTCTGATAGTGATACTGTTTGCTCTTTGTGACTTTGCTACTAGCTCCGGCTTCATTCCACCCTCATCTGCGAATACGCTGCAGAAATTAGTGTTTAGATTCATCACCATCATGCCGGCACACCGTATCAACCCTTCGAGACGACCCGACCACCAATAACCGCGTATGGACTGAGGTCAATTGCGGATTCGAACTTGTGACCTCTGAATTACAGTGCAAGCGCGAACTCCTTTTCGTCACCGGCCAACTACACTTCAGTTCAGTGCAGTTGAACAACTATGATCCGAACACCAAAGTGCAGGGGATCCGTTTGACATGACTCGCTTCGTAAGGATAACCATAAATAACAACGTAAGATAGCGGACTTGAATGCAACTAGAATGTAATGAAAATGGAAGCAAGAAGGAGGTGCATTAAATTGATCAAAATGGAACGAAGACTAATAACAAGCTACAAGCAACCGAATACAATAACACCACTGACTGCGTGACTGCGCCATGTCCTATAAGGTTTCCAACCATTGGTGCGGATCACTCCGAGGCACCCATCCACGAAGACCACACCCACCATCCTGACCGGATCTCTCAGTCATATCCTTCATGCCTCGATGTCACGTCATGGACTGGCCATCTCACGGTTTCGCCCAAATTGCTGTAACTATGGCATATAATACACGTCGGAGAAGGCGATCAGCGCGCGTACGGAGAACATGACCTAGCCAGCGTAGGCGGTTAAGATTCAACAAACATTTAAATGAGATACCAGAAGGTTTCTTGCTGAAAACCAACTGGCTGGCCACAACATTGCTCATCCGGTGTTCCCATCATACTGGGGCAATCCTCCGCAAGCACCGGTTGTCAAACATGGCCAAGCGTGAAACGTCTTTGCCGCGAACGGGCCGGGTCTCTGGTCCATACAGTAAGACCGGTCTTACTCAGCCTTATACATCCTAACTTTCATTGACAAGCTGACATCCCACCGGCTCCATAAATGATAGAGTCTCTGCAAAGCCACAGGGGTCTTGCTGATACCCAAAGTAACTTCCTCAGTGATGTGTCCAGCAGCGGTGACACAGCTACCAAGATAAGTGGACCGATCCACCGCTTCTAGCGGCTGTTCGGTGATCGCTACAACCGAAGGTGTATCGATCCAGTCCTGCCGCATTACTTTGCACTTCGAAGGTGCAAACCATGCGCCGAAGCGTGCAGCGCTACGCGTCAGTCCATCCAGCGGTGTTTGCATAGTCACTTCGCCAGACCCAAGAAGAGCTGTCGTTCGTCGCCTAGCAGAACATTCACTCCGGTAAAGTCTAAAAGAACGGTGTCACGTCTGATCATTTCGAGCACAAAGTTGAAGAGGTAAGGAGATATGGGACAACCCTGGTGAACCCCACTTGTCGTGGGGAACTCAGGAGACAGTTTCCCGTAGACCCTCACACGGCCTCTGGAAGCACGATAGAGTAACAGCATACTGGAATGGAATTTAGTTGCCACGCCTTTCATGGTTATGCAGTGCCACAAGTTGGCCCTGTCAACACAGTCGTGCGCAGCTTTCAAGTCAAGGAAAACTACCATATTCATTCGTCTGCTTGTGTGTCTGCACGAAAACTTGGTGTAGTGTAAGTATGTCTTCGATACAACCAGGACCATGATGGAAGCTATCCTGGCTTCCAGTGATTCGGTTCTCACGGGGTCCAGTAAGTCGTCGGAGAATGATACTCGTGAAAGTTTGAAGGTAACGCAAACAAAGCTAATGCCTTGATAATTTTCGCCCAAAGTAATCTGATCTTTCTTGAAGGTGGACACGACAGTTGATAGTCCCTAGTTTGGAGACACCTCTTCAATGT